ATATATATATATATATATATATATATATATATATTCCTTTTTTAAATGTTTTACTTTTTATACCTTTTTTTTCATTGTGGTTTTCCAAAGTCAATAAATAAAGTAAAATTTTTGGGGTTCATTTTCAATTACGAATACGAGGAAGAGTCATTAGATATATTTGAAAGATTAAAAAATAAAGTGTGTGCTGTTTTTCTTAAATGATTTAAAAGTAAAAAGAGATAATTTAAAAACAATTGTATATATGTATGTATGTGTGTATTTGTGTATGTATTTATGTGTGTATGGTATGTGTGTATGTACATATGTTTGTATGTACGTACGTGTGTATGTATGTATGTACGTATGTGTTTATACATATGCGTGTATGTATATATGTATGTATGTATGTATGTATGTGTGTGTATTTATGTATATATGTATGTGAGTATGTGTGTATGTACGTATGTGTGTGTATGTATGTATGTATGTACATATGTGTGTATATATGTATGTGTGTATGTATGTATGTACCTATGTATGTGTGTATGTACATATGTGTATATGTATGTTTGTACGTATGTATGTATGGATATATGTATGTATGTGTGTGTATGTACGTATGTGTGTATGTATGTATGTATATATGTGTATATGTACGTATATATGTATGTATGTGGGTGTATGTATGCATAAACAAAAACGAAAATAAGTTTACAAGAAATTCATTTTAGAATATTTTATAATATATAATAATTGTTCTCACAAAATGGAAATGTATTTATCTAAGACTCTAAAAAAGGTATGTTGCTCCTTTTCACACTCTCTACTAGGGATGGTAAAAAACTCGTGTCCGCGGGTATCCGCGGATTAAACCTGTTGTGGATAGTTGGTATCCGCGGGTAGCGAGTAGCGGATTTTTTAATTCCCACTCGTTATCGGGTCAGGTTCAGGTATTACATTATTCGTACCCGTGAGTATCCACTACCCGCAACCCGCTAAAAAGTTGAAATTTCCTTTTATCCTTAGTTTAAATTAGGTTTTTATGATTTTAGTTATGCTTCTTTTCCTCATACTACATCCCCTGTGTCGTGCCTCTTTGCATCCCCATGCGTGAACCATGCCTCTTTGCAGCTCCAACGAAGATATTCAAAATCTTTCTCTCGACCAGGACGCACATTGTACTATTGATGGAAACCCATTTAGGACATTCATTCAAAGGAGTATCAACTTAAGCTAAGGCTAAGAAAGAGAAGTGAAGAAGGACTGTTAAAGACTCTTTCTTAATTTTCTTTCTCTAAGTCTTAGAAGGATTATCTTTAATATGTTTGTATGTTGTTTTATAGGGATTAATAAGGTTAGGAAATCATGGATCAACGAATCAAGAAGCAAGGAAACATCAAGAATGAAGAAGCAAGCCAAATCTTCACTTGGAGGAATGTTAGAATCTTCACTTGGATGCATAACAAGCTGCTTTGGAAGCCCACATGAGTCACATTCCAACCAGCAGCTTGGTTGAAGTTGAAGAAATCCTAATGCTCAATGGATGAGGGCTTGAGCCCAGCGTCAACAAATGCACCAGCTGCCACTCACGTTTCTTCACCAGCTTCTTGCTTGATTGGCCACATAGCCACTCACGTTTCTTCACCCTTTACAACTAGCACTTGTTCCATTGCATCATAGTTAACGTTAGCTAAATAGGCGTGAACCAGGAGCTTTGTTTCTCCTTTAAATAGCTTGCTCCGTTGCTTGTAAACTTGACCTTTGAATTAAATGAAGAAATAGAATCTGTTGGTTTCATTCTGGATCATTCTTCTGTTTGAAGGTCACCGAGAGAGAGCTTGAGAGTTTCCTTTAGCCTCTCTCCCTAGCTAGGCTCCATTCCTAGCATTCCTCCACACCATCTGCATCACAGTACAACACTTAAACCACTTCCCTCTTTCCATTTTCTCCATTACCGCTTCATTAGTTTTCATCACCGAACCACTGTTCGACTCAACCTTCATCTATTTCAATCTTAGCTTCATCACCGAGTCATCTAATCTACTTCAATCCAACCACCGAACACCATTTGAAGAGTGGCTTCTAGAGTCGCAACTTCCTCCAGTCATCATCATCATTTTTCAACCCATTCCGCTACGTTGTCCAAGCACATCTTCCATTGTTGCGTGCTTTTACGATCCAAATCAGAGGAGAGTTTGGTTGATTTGTTCGACCACCCGAATAAGCCAAATCGTTCTTCCATCAACTATACTTCTAAATCTCTTTGAGTTACCTCTTTTCGGTAGGGTTTTAGGTTTGGGGATGAGATCGATTTCTGTGTTTGGTTTGTTTGGGGTTTAGGTTACTTTGTGTTTGGAGGTTTTGTAATGCCTAGTAAATATTGTTTAACTTTGTTTTGAAAGTATTAGTGTCAAAGTTGGAATATTCTTGTTGTAGCTGGAAAGCTAGAACAAGCAGAGAATAAGTTGGCACACTCACGCTTTGGGCCACTAATAGCACCGACACCTAGAAAGAAAGAGGTGAGTGTCTATATAATTTTCAAAATTTCCATCCATTTATTAGAAGTTTTGTATCATCGTATCGAGGTTTCATTTGGATTATTGAAATTTTTCAGAATAGTCTTTTTGATGATGAAATTCTTTCTAGGTGATTATCTCCCATCTAATTCATGTTGTATGCAAATTTTGATATGCATCTACTTGTTGAAATTTTGAACTTAAGTTTCTAACCTTTAGTTGTTAGAATATAGTGTACCATAAAATTAGGTCTGTGGTGCAGTAACATAGTCTCAAACGTAATTGTCCTCAACCCAGCAAATGTGAGATGGAATGCCATAGTGGTCTGAAAATTTAATGAAGCCTAAAATGTGTCAGATTGCACTTGTAGTTCACCTGGGCAAATCTATTCAACTAAATTAAATAGCAGCAGGTACCTTTACTGACTGGTTTGAAAATGTAGCATGGTAATTCATGTTTCTAACTAGTTAAATCCATGTTGCTTTACTGAACTTATCGAGGCAATCTACATTTTCTTTCAAGATAAAAGCTAATTTATGGAATGTAAAGGAGTGGTAATGAGATTCTTAGAGTAATGCCATATAAGTTGGGTGCAAGGCCTTTGTCGTGCATGCATTTACTGAATGTAAGTGTTATTGCAGATACGAATTGAGTGTTATAGCACTATGTGGTCATTTAAAACTTCAATGTCACATAGCTTGAATTAAAATGGAAAAAATTGATGGCAATTTTAATTCCTTAATGAGCAATTTTTTTTTTCATTTGAAAAATTAGTCATTTGAAAAATTAGTCGTTTGAAAAATTAGTTATTAATTAAAATAGAAATTAGTTCTAACTAGTTAAAAAGTTAATCTACTCGCAAAATAATAGATTTACCATTTTGCTTATATACTCTTTAACAAGTTGTTAAATCACATACATGTCTTTGGATTTGATTGTCAAAAATGCAGGTTGGAAATTGCTGATAGATACATTGAAATGTACTTGTCATTTTCTCATTTATAAACACTAAATCAACTAAATAGTACTGCTACAAGTAAATCAAATTAATTTTGAGTCGCTCTGATATCTCAACCACCAATATTATTTCATATTTCTTGCTGAAAATGAAAGAGTCGTGTTTATTTATGGGTTAGTAGAATTAACTGTGAAACACCTACTTAAATAATGTCTTATATGTTTTGATTTGTCCTACAAATGAATTGATTTGTATGCTAAATATGTTATTGTGCATATATGTACATAGTTATAAAAGTTTAATAAAAATATTTGAACCTTAATAAGTGTTTTAAAAGTATTATATGTTGTAATTGATATGTTTTCATATACTATTTATAAAATTTGTGTTTTTTGTTTCAACTAACAACAATCAAAAGAAATTAGTCAATTTTGTGCATTTGATATAGTTCAAGCTTCAACATAATCTTTAAAATAAAAGAGCATATTGAGACCATTATCTTTCATTTGAAACAAGCAACAAGAGATCACTCAAACAATAAAATGTGAAAAAGATGTTAGACT